AGGTCAATGAGAAAGAACTTTCACAAACCTGCCTGACATAGACATTTGTACATTGATGGGTATATTTAACTACGTAGAAATTCATTTTGTAGGGTTTGTAAGTGCTGAAGTTTTACCTTTTTCCCGTTAGATGCTTGAACTTCAACTTCCTTCCCATTTATCTTTGTCACTTGCCCATCAACCCAGGCAATGTCTGGGTCCTCGACCCAGACATGGGAACCTACAATGATATTCACCGGGGTACTCTGCATAGAAATTTGAAGAGGTTTATTAAACAGCGCAAATATTAGAAAGAAGACACTGAGAGCTAAAGGTGAGACGAATGGTGAGCCTGATAATCAATTCTTCAACCAAGAACTAGAAATGCATTAACAAGATTTATTCTTTTGAGCTCCCAATCCTTTATAAACTTAATGGTCTACAGCTTCATTCATAAACAGCTAAATTCTGATACAGCTATTTCACGATTCATGACCCAAAAGAATTAGAGAATAGAAAAAGATAATTTATTTAAGCAAAAAAAAAAAAAAAGATCACATTTAATCGTCAGAAAGATCACATTTTAAGCAAAAACTCGAAAAGAATCACCAAAAAATTTATGCTTTGACCACTTATATCCCTTCTGCTCTTAGTGATCCAAAGCTGCACTAATAAAAAGCTACACAACAACCGTCAGTCCGACACCATTTAATCATTCTAGAACACATCTGTTTTTTTAATTTCACCATAACCTGTTTCGGCCAACCACAACAGGAATCAATTCAAACAATCTCTAACAAGATCACGAACAATATCAAATCTAAAAGGTATGCAATGCCAGTTCACGTAAACTTACCATCTTAATTCAGCAATTGAACAAAACCCGACAAGATCGACCCGAGGCACACAAGAAAACCCCCTTTATTCGTATACACAAACCCAAATTTCGGTCCCCATCACGAACCCAAATTTCGGTCACTTCGCACACTCCAATAAAACGCCAAAATGTCAAAGGATTTCCCAATCTCGAAATGGGTTTCGTCCGAAATCTCGAAACCTGCGATGAACATGCGAGTACAGCAATCTCTGAGATTTGGGTTTTTTTCTTTTTTTTTTTTCGGTAACTTCTGCAATTTCTCGAGAGAGAGTGAGCTAGCAGTGATGACAAAAGTAACCGTCGACGTGTGATGCGAGAAATTGGAAAAAGATTTGTGGAGGAGAGGGACATTCTGGTTCTCCGAGAACCCTACGTTATCGGGGGCGCTGTTGAATCCTTCTCCGGACATGTGTGTGCCTGCGTGTGCGTTAATGGCGGGAGTGGGGGCGCGTAGGTTGTCGCCATGGATAAATTAGGAGAATTTCCAAAATCAGCCCTTCACAGGGACGCGCGAAATGGATTTAAACGGCTGTGACTGAAAACCTCATTCTCAATAAGTAAACTCGGGTCATGGACATGAAATACACCTGTGAGTTTGAACTGGAGAAGACGATAACAGAGCAAGGAAATAGTAAATAACTAAATATATCAGCTTAAATTTGAGCGACTTTTTCACTATGCAAACTGTTGATTTTCAATCGGTAATCACATATCAACGGAGGATGTGTGATGTGTCAAATTTGCGCCGGGCTGTTAGGTGCGTAATTTGTCGGCCCGTAATTTGGTAGCCCAAGCATGCCCTTAGCAGGAAAAAATAGTTGTAAATTGACTTGGGCTGTTGGACAGGTTGTTCCGCCGGCATTTCGGCCCATATAAGTGCCTGTTTCTGGTTCGGAAAGTTCAGGCCCAATCCACCTCAAATAATTGAAATAGTTTGCTTAGGAAGACTTCCAAATTCGATCGAATGCGCTGATGAAAATCTATATAAAATTGAGAATGGACTAAATAGTGGAGGAAATGAGAGTGCAAGAGAATTGCAAAATTCACCTACAAATTTATTTATAATTACTCATTTATGAAGTTTTCGTTTCAAATTACAAATATTAACTTTTACGGTTTATGAATGATTGACTTTTAGTTTATTTTTATAATTGAGATCCTAAATTGTAGTATTTTTCATCTGTAACTAGTTTATGAATGATTTATGTATAGTTTTATTTTTAATTTCATAGACAATAAATAATACCTTTTGAGTTATCTGTAGACAGTATTTGACTTCCTTTAAATACATAAAGTAATTTTCTTGATACCCACACAACACCCTAAATTTCGTTCTTACCACGCACATTTGACTCATAAAAACCATGTCAAAAAGGTCGTGAGAATGCTCTCTCAAACATTAAATCAAAAAAGGTTTAGTTTGGACTTTGGAACAAAGACAATGAAGCATTTTAAACTTCATGGAAATAAGAACGGGTCTAGTATTTGTTCTTTGATTGCTTTCACAAGTAGAAAAAAGAAGTTATTATAACAAGCTTTTCACATCGATTTTTCAAAATTGATGTAACAAATTGAAACGTATAGAATTATCCCGAGTGTGCTCAACGTTGTACGAACAATTATAAAAACTACAATTTGCGGAAGCAATAACCAAAGATTCAAAAAACTTTTCATGGAAGCATCTCACTTCCCTTCAGAGCTCTTTCATTGACAATAATCGAATACATAGTTTGGACTTACAAAATAGAACTCCCTTCTATTCTAACCACAACTATGATCTAGCCTATCAATTACTTCTCCGGCCACGTCCCGTGGACTTATTATTCACACTTACTCCCTAAGTGTAAATCGACTAAAAATGTTCAAATCAGAGTAAAGAAAAACAATATCAAATGAAAGTGGTTTCAGTCCTTCGGTATTCAAACATTCCGAGAATTAAGCAATCAACTTGAAGCTTAAAGGTGATGGATAAAAGCAATAGCTCCAGCAGCCGTCATTCAATCTTCAAGGTAGGTTTATATATGATCTCCTTTCTAGGTAGACTCCCTTCGGTCCTTGGTCTCTCATTTGGTATATCCAAGAAGTCCTACCAAGTATAGAACTCTTCTTCTCTCTCCAAATATTCACTTGTCTTACTTATCCAATCTCTTCCTTATCTTTCGTGATTTCCTACTTGCGTGAAGCTCTCATCCCATATGAACCGATATCCTGCAAAGTGTAAATACATAATAAGATCAAATATTCTTTTAACATAATATAAACTAATTTAGGAAACAAGAACTTCCCTTATTTATGCATGCAAGAACTCTCTTTTAAACTCATGCCAAAATATTACATCTGTCACAAATAAAACGGTGACATTCTTGTAACTAAAATTTCATGTTACACATTGGATTTTAATGAATTGATTTTACCAAGTTTGGAGTCGGCAGTTTTCAAGTCCCACAAGTCCAAATTTGCATTGTGGATTTTTTGGGCAAAGCGTTACAAATGGAAAATATGAAATAGTTTGAGAATTATTTCTACAACTAACTTTAGGTGAATCACGGTCAATTTGATCAGTATTTGAATTATTTTACAATTTACAGTTGCTTGAATATAATTAGTTGAAGTCTCAATACGCAAAATCTGGATGACGTCATCATCACACTTTGCATCAAGAAACGTGGCGGTGAGTCGCTGACTGATTAATCCACACGCTAATTTCATATTTGAACAGCGGTTTTCATGTGAAAAAAACTTTGAAGAACTTTAAAAACGGGTCAATGTCCATAGAAGTATACACACAGAGAGGAGAATTGCAAAATAAAGAAAATGTCCCTAGCTCGCTTAAGTTATTTATAGTAACTTTTTTAAACTGGTCAATGTCCCTAAAGTCATCCCTCCCTACATATTAATTCAAAACGTGTTGAGTTTAAGTGTCAGGTTCACATGTTACGAATATTGACATGACAAAAAATCTATGCTTCGAAATATTGTTTGTATATTAATTTCTTTGCTTTGGAATTAGACTTGGTATAGACATAAATAATTCTTTTTCAAACTTGGTAAGTGTATTTAATTTTGTTACTTTTTTTCTCTTAGTACAAATTTCTTTCTTAATTTGGCCAAGTAACAATCTTACCATCTTATAATTTTCTCTCATAAATTATGATTTACAAATCACTTTCTGCACTGTCTATTCCTATTTTTTTTTTCATTAATTAGTCCATCAAAGTTTTTAAATAATTTTTTTATTTTAGCAATAACTTTTATAATATATTTTTTAACTCAATACCCGTGTACTACACGGATATTGTACTAATTAATATATTATAATAAAAAAAGTTGAAATTAGTAAGGCCTCAAATTCAAATTGATAGGTCGGAAAATGTGCACGCTTTATATGTTTCATAGTGTATTTTTATATGCTTAATTTAATCGCACGTTTGTATTTTTTGACTTATTTATTATTTGGATAGATTTATTTGCTTTAATATTTTTATGATTTATTTTCAGCATATTTAATTATTTTTATAGGCGACGTAGTACCAAACGAGAATTTAAATAGACGAGTACGGGGTGCTTCATATCCGGCAGAAAATAGGCTACAGTTGGGCCCATGTTTAATCAAAGGCCCAAATTGAATGCCCACATAAACAAAGACTCACGCATGCTGGATTGGAAAATGGGGAATTAACGCCTAATTAAGGACTTGAGGGTTGATTTATTTGGTCTTGCTGAGACGCCACGCAGACATTGTTTTGGCTAAGGAGAATTACTTCCGCAAGGGGACTTGGAATTATTTGAGAGGATTTTTATTGCGAGAGAAAAAAGGAGCCGCAGACAGAAAGAAACGCAAGACGCAGCGGCACAAGCACGCACGCAGGGATAGAGAAAGAAGACACCGCGGAGGGAAGCCGCACTTGCACACGAGGGAGATATTTTTATCTTCTCTCTTTTATCTTTTATTTATTTTTTATTAGTATGTTAGGCTAGTATTTTTATCCAGTTTGAGGGGATGTTTGAACCCTAACTTTGATTTGTCTATGGATTGAAGGATTTATTTTTATCGTTGATTAATCGAGACGCCGTATTTATTTTTGTTGATGAGTTGATTCATGTTATCTGTGTATAATGTTTATGAATTATGGTGTTTGATTTAGTCTGGCCAACTACGTTAAACATTCATAGTTTAATTGCTAGATTCGAGACTTTAATCCGTAATTGTTATTGTCTCGTTTCGTTAGTAGTTAACTAGGGGTCGTGCATCTCTAGGGTAGCGTGAACATAAGTTAAATGGTCCGAGCTTTTGCGTCCATTGCTTAGACTGATCTATTTTCCTCGTAATTAATGCTGCTAGTGTATTAAATCTAGAGAGCTTATTCTAGGTTGTCCGCTAGTTAGATTTAGTCGAAGAGCTTATTTCGATTAAATGTTCGGTATGGGAAAATTCGGTTAACAGAGCTTGTTGTTAGCTAGGGTCGGTAATTCGTTAGCAATTTAAAGAAAGCGTCGAAATTAATTAACGGTAGATTTAGATTGGGTGATAACTGAACCGAAAACTGGACTTCTCTTATTTTATTGATCTCTTATTTTATTTTATTATTTTTATTTTTATTTTTATAAAACCAATCCCCCCACCTTTATTGCTTTCGTATGTTTAGTTCAATTAATACGAGAATCATCACAATTTAATTCCTGCTTCTCGTGGGATCGACCCTTACTCGCCGCTACTACTAGTTAGTAGAGGTTAGTCGAGGAAAATATTATAAATTTAAATTTGCCGTGTTGCGACGCGCGGTCACAAATTTCTTCTCACAATTGTCGAGCTCGCGGCATGCGTCTCGTACATAAACGTTGTTATTAGATAGTCAATTGTTAGACGAATTCAATCATACTTTTTGAACCAAAAGTATTCTAGTAAAATTAATACTATACTGATTTTACGATTTTATTTTTTTAAAATAATAACTTACAAATATCTCAAAATCATTTCAGGATGAATAAGAAATTAAGTTTTATAACTTGTATATGTGGAAATAAATGAGCTTTTTCAGTTGTAAATGAATTTAAGTAGCTCAAAAATTAATTAGAATCGAAAACGAACAAACTCGATAATCAAAACAGGTCAGAAATCACATGTGGGATCATGGAGTACACAACATCATATGGAGAGGGCGTATATTTCATGTGTCTCGACTCTGTTTAGTTATTTGAATTTTCGTTCGAGTTTGTTCATTGTTTGTTCAAGCTATTCATTGTCATTCTCCGAAAGATAAATATGTACACTTTTATCCAACAAATTATATATATATATTTAACAACAAAATATCATATTTTTTTAATTATGTAAACGACATATTATTTCTTTAAACCAACTGTATCCTTTTTTCATACATATTTGTCATTCTTTCTCCTGAAGACCATTTCAAATTTTCTAATTAATCCCCTTCAAAACCCTCCCAGTCAACAGTCAATTTAATTTTGCTGTGCATGGACATTTTCAATAGTTCCATCCATTTTCATGCACTAATAATCACTATATATATATACAAACACACACAACTCCCATTCAATTCACCAACCTATTCAATCAAATTCTCCACACATCAAGAATAAACAAAATCTTTCATTTAGTTTTGTCCTGCAAACAAAGAACACATTCAAAATTCAGTTCATCATCTACTTCCCCAAAACATCATGATGTCCCAAAAATTAATGATCTCCTTAGCCATTTTGGCAATATTTTCGCTATCGAGCGTAAAACTGAACCAAGCCGCTAGATTAATCCTAAACGAGGACAAACAAATACGGTCAACGAACAAGTGGGGTCAAGACAACCTTTTGCTGCCAATCTTGCAACGTGGCCGAACAGTTGGGCCCCCATCGCCAAGTGGCTGCACGTGGGTCCCCGGCCAAGGCGGAAACCCTTGCACCGCCACTCTCGGCCACCGGAACTTTGCCGGAGACCGTCATTTGCCTGCCACCGGAAATTATGGGTTCCCGAAGAAAACGGCTAGCTAGAGAAGCCAAGTGATGCAATGGCTGCCACATTATTCCAATATAGAGAGAGAGATTCTTTGATTAATTTATTTGTACATTTTCTTCTAGTAATGACAGCCAATAAAAGCCAGTAGAAATAAAGGCAGAGAGAATGCTAGCTACTTAATTCCAATATATAAAGTCCATGAATTTTACATTTTATAATCTAACACATGTCTCGGTAATCATGTAATTTCTTTTTTATGTTTGCAATAAAAATCATTAATGTTGATGATCAGACTGTAACAAACCTGATCAATTCTGTTTAATATTTGCTGCACAAAATATTTATAAGATGCTAAGATGTGTGCTCAATGCACGTTTTATGTATTTGCAGCAGAAAGTTGCCTACTAAATATGTGTGTTTTTAGGTTTGGCAAAAATTCAAAATTGGTCCTATAATTTGGCCACTGTCCAAAAACCATCCCGATATTGACCACTTTCAATTTTGGTTCTATAATTTGTCGATTTCATCAATTTTGGTCTTTTTTTATCCACACCCTGGATTAAAAAGTGACGTGGCCTGAAAAAAGGACCAAAATTGATGAAATCGACAAATTATAGGACCAAAATTGACGTGCCACGTAGATCATAATCACGCCATCTAACATTAAAAACCTGACACGTCATGCCACGTCACTTTCTACTCTATGGTGTGAATAAAAAGGACCAAAATTGATGATATCGACAAATTATAGGACCTAAATTGAAAGTGGTCAATATCGGGGTGGTTTTTTGGACAGTGGCCAAGTTATAGGACCAATTTTTAAATTTTGCCAGCCTTGTTTAGTAATCAGCGGTTAGCTGTTAGCGGATTGTATTAGCTATTTTGACCAGCTGATTGTGTTAGCGGTTTATAAAAGAGTGTTTGGTAAAATTAACTATTTTAATTAGCGGTTAACATGTAAAATTACTTATAAGGACACTCATATAGTTTTTTTTAATGTTTTGGGTATAATTATTTTAGAAAATAAAAATCATTAATGCATTTAATATATAGCAAAAAAATAATAATACAATAACACAAATAACAAATAAACATCAAATAAGAATTTGTGATTATAATTAGCGTATAAATAAGTTTATCGAAATATATTTTATAGTTTTTTTGTTATGTAGCACAAGAAACAACCATTATAATGATTGTCGGTCCAAAATAAATGCATTAACTTAAATGTGTGTTGTGAGTCTTGTGACATGAGCCAATCAATTTTTTTTTTTTTTTTTGNTTATATTATTTGTCCTTCTTACTTAAAAGAACAAAATTACGCATTGAAAGGAATTAGTTGTCTTATCCTGTACATTAAATTTTCCTTAATCTCCTAAATCTTATTTATCCTTGTTAACAAAATTCTCTCTCCTTTCATGTGTTGTTGTTGGAATAGAGTGGGAGAGTTAAGTGCTAGATAAAGATACGTAACAATTAAAAAAAAACCCATGAACTGAATCTACAAAATTTTAGGATTGGAGATAGTGTAATTAAGTGATAGTTATCTACAACAACAATTAATAAGCAAAAAGAAATACACACTCAAACGGCAGATATTAAAAAACGGAGGGAGTATTAAGTAGCAGCATATAAGTTATTCATTTTTCCCAAACGCTATTGTCAAATGCTGCAAAGTAGAGCGTTTCTGGTTTTGGCGTTTTAATAAAAAAAGCTATTTAAAAAAGTCATTTTACCAAACATAAAATTTATCTGTTAGCTAAGGTCAAACCGCTAAAATAGGTTGAAACGGCTAAAAGCTAAAGAAAAAACTATTTACCAAACACAACCTTAGTGTTTGTACTAGCAGTAGTATATAAACAATCATCCTTTACAATTTTTTGGAACATTACCTCATTTGTTAAATTTTTCTTCTAGGATTTTCTCCGTTTTTGTAATTTTCAGTCAAGATTGCTACTTTCCGATTTATTTCTACTTGTGGATGCGACTAGAGACTTGGAGCAGTTTAAGGTTCAAGATCTCGTAAGTTACCTCGACTTGGCTTAGTTATATTCCCGGCAGTGACGGATTTAGAAATTTTACTCAGGGGAGCCAGATTTTAAATGTTAAATAACAAGCTTGCTGTTTAAGTCGAAACGCTAATTTCATATAAAAATGTATTTACTATAAGTATAAATATCGATAGGTGTACTATCAAGTTTTTTAAAAACTTAGAATCCATATCACCCTCAAACTTTTTTTTTTAAATGTGATTTCAGGTATTTATAATTTATCTTCAACATCTATAAGTTATGGAAAAATAAGTTTTTTTGTTGAAATTTGATTTACATTGAACTTTTGCAGCACATTGCATAACATTTTGTTGATGGGAACTTACCAAATAAACATTTTTTAAGAAAAAAAATAAAATAAAAAATATGTGATTACACAAAAAAATAAAATTAGGAAATATAACAATCCAACTAAATACTCGGTTTTATATCGTTAAATCGATTTACAATTAAAAGACCGAAAGAGTAAGTCATTATAAATATTTTCAAAAACTTATGTAGAAATGTAAAGTATAATGATTGTTAGTACATTTTTAATAAATAAATATTATTATCAATTTAAATTAAAGCAACATATAAACTAAGTTTTAATTATTAATCTATTGTAGAACAGGGTTCTATGAAAAGCCCATATATATATATATATATATATATATATATATATATTCCAATTACGAACACTCTTTTTTTGAGAAACAATTCGAGATTGGTACTAACCATCGTACTGGATAAAAACACTACAAACAAGCTTTAAAGAATGGCATAAATATAAGTATTACATTTAATAATATAAAGTAACCGATAAAAAAAATAATAATATAAAAATGAATTTTCATTCGCAAAGTATGGTGGGAATTTTTTGCTTGAAAATAAGAGTCTAGTAATTGTCTCTTTTACTGATTCACATTATATATTTTTGGTGTAAAGCATAAATAAATAATGGAAGTGTCGAGTTCAAATTCACATGATATTAAATTTAAAAAAATAGGATAATGGACAAGATGGATTAGTTTAAGAGTTAGTTTGACACCAATTTTTATTAGGCGAACCGCTGACCGCTGTCAATTTGGTCAGCTATTTAATTCTTTTACAAGTTACAATTTATTGAATATATATAGTTGAAGTCTCAATGAGCAAAATTTGGATGAGGTCGTCAATCGTGATCCAACTTTGTATGAAGAAACGTGGTACACAAGCGCGCTGTCTAAATCCACACGCTAATTTCATAGTACTTAATTTGGTATTTGAACTGCGTTTTTCAGGTCATAAATTGAAACTTTGAAGATATTTTTTTTTTGGTTTTATACGGGTCAATGTCTAGACACAAAGAGAAGAATTGCACAATGAAGATAATGCCCCTAGCTCGATCAAATTATTTATACAGTTAAATTTACCAAAGGAAAATAATAATAATGAAATTTATGGGGTTCAATCTATTGCTAGTTGAGCTATTCCGTACTATCAAACAAAGCCATCTTTCATGAGTAGATTAATAAACGAAATAAGTTGCTCGTGAGCTCGACTCCATTTGTTTGATAAATAAGTCGAATATGAGCTCGTTTAAAAATAGTTTAGTTAACAAGTCGAGCTTAAGTTTGCAAATATGATTTTTTTTATGTAATTTCTAAAACTCGTTTCGTTAAAACTCAAGTTTGACTTGTTAATATTTATAAATAATCGATGTTCAAACTCACTTATCGACTTATACCGATAAAGTATCGATATCGAGACTTAGGAGCTCAAAATAAATCTTGAGCCAACAGAATTGGATCTCATTTAATAGTACAAAAATATTTTTTTGTTTATTAATTAAGTATGACAGATCGACTCACTTAACAGTTGTCTACAGAATTGGATCTCATTTGATAGTACAAAAATATTTTTTTGTTTATTAATTAAGTATGACAGATTGACTCACTTAACAGTTGTCTACCTCACACACGAGAATTTTTGCTTTGAAATAAGGAAGATTCTAGTCATCAATTGGCCTCTTTTATTGTTTTGCATTATGGAGTTTTGGTGTAAAGTCTAAAAACTGGAGTGCCGAGTTCAAATTTCTTTTGCGAGATAAAATTTCTTGAATAATATATATTGTTGAAGTCTCCACAAGCAAATTTTGGATGACGTCATCGTACTTGCGGCTCACGATTTCAAATTTGTATCAAGAAACCTGGTACCCACCCAAATACACACGCTAATTTGATATGTGAACTGCGTTTTTCAGGTCAGAAGTTGAGACTTGAAAAATTTTAAACGGGCCATCAAATGTCCCTAAAAGTACACACATTAAAGAGAAGAATTGCAAAAGAAATGTCCCTAGCTCGCTTAAAAATGTAATAATAATAATAATAATAATAATAATAATAATAATAATAATAAACAACAAGTTGAAATTAATAAGGCCTGAAATTCGAATTTCGACCTCACAATTGTCGAGCTTGTAGCAAATGTGATGCGCGAATGTTGATGTTAGGTAGCGTCCTGATTATTGGACTAATCGATTTTGATTATTATTATTTTTAAATATAGTAATTATACGACAAAATATCATATTTTTTTATTCATGTCAACAACAATTACCAAAATAAGATTAAACCAACCATTTTTTTTAATACATATTTTCCAATCTCTTTCTCCCAAAGACCATTTCAATTTTCCTGTTTAATCCCCTTCAAAATCATCCAAGTCAACAGTCAAATTCCTGTGCATGGACATTTTCAAGGCCCATCCATTTTCATATCATGCACTATATAAACAAACACACACACAAAACCCCCTTTCAATTCACCAACCTAATTCAATTCTCCACAC